CTGGAACCAACTTCCAAGCGAAGTGGTGCTGGCTCCTACCCTGGGGGTCTTTAAGACAAGGCTAGACAGTCACCTTGCTGGGGTCATTTGACCCCAGTACTCTTTCCTGCCATGGCAGGGGGTTGGACTTGATCTGCTCAGGTCCCTTCTGACCCTACCAACTATGAAAGAGGCAGGTGGGGATGTTGCAGAGAGGTTCCCTAGGAATACTGCCTTGGCTTGGGGAGACATCAATCCCTACTCACAAGAGTCCAGGATGGGCATGGCAGGAGGGGCTACAGAGAAGGACTAAGGTGCTGTCTGATTTTAGGGTTGATTTTGGTTCCCTGTGATCATGAACAATGAATCCCAATGAAAGCTCAGACAGAGCCCCCTTAGGAACTATCCCTTGAAGACCTGGATGATTCCAACTGCTTCTAGTGGGTTTTGGATAAGGTGCTATAAGATTTCATAGTGTTAGGGAAGTCTTTTCCTTTCTGACTGAACTGGAACAGGATGTAGTGCACACACACTTGATGACAACTGCCCTGCATATCTGGCTAGAGGTGAGCTTGGAGATCCCTCCCTCTCCAAAATAATAGGGAATAAAACCCCAATTCATTGGAAAAGCCTAGAAAGTGACAAGGTCAGATGGTCACAAACTCCTCCAAAACCGTTTCAGGCTGGACATAAGGAAAAACTTCTTTATGGTCCAAGCCCCGAAGGCCTGAAATCAGACTGCCTCCAGAGGTGGTGCAAGCACCTACTTTGGACTCTTAAAGAACATTTGGACATCTATCTTGCTGGGATCCTTTGACCCTAGATGACTTCCTACCCCTGGGGAAGGGGGCTGGACTCGATCTTCCAAGATCCCTTCCAGCCCTAATGTCTGTGAAATCTATGACACTGTTTTGAGTGAATAAGGCCTGGGCTATGGTACTGTACTGCACTAACACATCCATTTCCCAGCTGGAGCCAGATGTGTGTTTCACCACTTCCCCTCTGCTGTTCATATGCATTCTAATTATGATCCTCCTTTGGGGAGAAGAAGGATATCTTACTGGCAGCTTACAAACAATTCTCTGTTTACTGAAACACAAGGGCTGCTCTTAAGTGTTTGCCTTCTGAACAGTGAATAAGTCTATTGTGATTCCTAATTCCACTGTGTCTGCAGCCACTCTGACCTGAAGGAAAGGTGGCTCAGTGAAGTGGGCGTGCCTAGAACCAAACCTGGCAGCCTGAGTTGGCAAGCAGAGCTGTAGTGCTGGCAGCCTCCAGTTAGCTGCTTGACTGTTCTGCAGGAGTCCTGAAAGACCAATCATTGACCATCACAAATGAGTTAATTTAATTGCTTTGGTCTTGGGGAAGGATCCCAAAGCCCATAACCCCTCTCTGAAGCAGGACTATGTTTCACAGAGGAGCTCTGCTTATGCTTCTTGCTTAGTCTATCCTGGTGAGGTGACTTGAGAGTTTTCTGTGCTTTGTTCATTCAGGAAGTCTCAGTCTAGTTCTCAAAGTATGCCAGCTTCAGAGTAAGGAAGTCATTTGACTTGCCCAAGGCATAATTTTTGGCATGTTTTTAATGATGAATTTGTCAGCTATATTTTCATTTAGAATCCAGACTCTTATGGATGGGCTATGACCTAGAACTACTGGACAGCCCTGCCTAAAGGGAGAATTCAGGTAAGCCTCAGTGAGTATAGAGGTGACCCTTCAGCTCCAGAGAATACAGGAACAACGGAGTTGGTTCTGAAGTATGAATTTTGACAAGACTTGAACTTAGTGTCAAAAGGCAATGGGGTTTCAGTACCCCAGATCTCTGCAGGGATTAAAGGATGGGTCTCCAGTCTGCCAACAGCAATAAGAACTATGGAATGGGTCTCCAATTCATTAGCCCTAGAAACTCCTATTGTTATAGGATGATTTAAACCTGAAGTTCGACAATCAATGGGGATCATAAGACAATTCTTGTATCTCCATCCCTTAAGCCCACACAGATCATAGGATAAGTCTCTAAATCCTAAAGGCCATGGAAGCAATAGGATGAATCGTGAATCCTCCAAGTCCATCTCACCATTGTCCTGACCCACCACTCTATTTGTATTACTTCCTATTTATTCAGCAGGTGATCTTTTAACCGTGGAGAGTGTATTCTCTCCACCTGTGGTTGTGGACAGACTCACTCTTAAGGCTCCTTGCTTGGCTGCTTCTCTCATTTTTACAAGTGCAGTCCTGAGCCGGAAGTTCTCTTGCTCCAGGATGTAGATCCGGATGTTATTTGCCTGCAGTTGCTTTTCCATATCTTCTGCAACATTCCCAGTGCCTGCAGAGAAATATATAGCCTGAGATCATGCCCTTGTCTTTGGAAGGATGAGCTTCAGTTTCTCCTACACAAAGGCTGTGGCTTTACCATCACTATTTTAGGCTGACAAAGGGCAGGCTCTGTCTGTGTGGGGTGTGGGAGATCAACAGCTCTGCTCAGAAACACCATGGTAGGTTCAAGGATTACCCTTCCACAATGAAGTGAGGACTGGCTTGGGAGTGTGCTTATACAACTCCACATGGAAATTCCCCTTCATCTAAGATGTTTGATTTTTACCACTAACAACCCTGGAGCAAATGCAAGTAACTTCTGTTAATAAGAAGGATGTGTCTTATCCTTCCTTGAGTTTTCTGTTAAACATCCCAAAGGGATAACTGCCAGTTAAAGATGAAAGGTACAGACGCTATAGGGAAGGTGAACACAATGAGGTGTTGGAGGATAGAGCTATGCTGGTGCAAGGAGAGTGATGATTTTACATCTCTCGGGGCATTTATACACATGCTCGGGGGGGGGGGGCACTTTAATTGGAGCGACTCTTAGAGCCCATTCCAGAGCATCTCATGAATCAGTGTCCCCGTGCTTAAAAATGGCAGCAAGGGCACTTTAACTAAAGCATGTCAAATAAATTTTAGTTACAACACCCCCAGCACCATTTTTAAGCATGGGGATGCTGATACATGAGATGCTGGAGTCTGCTGGAGCACATTAATTACTGCACTCCAGCAGACTTGATTAAATCGAATCTTCTCTGCTGCACTGTAATTACAGTGTGTCAGAGCAGCCTCACTGCTCGTATATAGGTGCTCCCAGAGGCTAGCAGAGCAAGGAGCAGCTGTAGGCTTCTCATGGGTGAAACAGTTCTCAGACCTACCTAGAGATGCTGGAAAGGGTCCTTATCTAGAGTGGCTGCGGAATTTGTCACTGCAAGTATAAGTATGAATTAGATAAATATTTTCCAAGATAGTTTAGACAGGGATGATCCTTCCTTGAAGGATCCTTGACCACTACAACCCTATTTTTCTAGGATTCTACAGAGGCATGGCAGAGCAGAGCCATGCCTCAACTAGGTCTGTTCTCCACAAGCATCAAGTCATTTCTGACCTTACTCCTCAGCTACTCGAACCTCTGTCAGTAGGGGGTGGAGACTGGAGAGCTCTACTGTTTTCTGAGGCCAAGCCAGGCTGTTTCTAACTAAAGGACACAGGCACCATGATGGGCAGTGCCCTGTGAACCTCAAGTCCATAATACTCAGGGATGGCTAGTGGCCTTTGAGATGGACTTGCCATGTGTGTCCTGAAGTATTAGGAGCTTGCTGTCCTTGTTTGTAAAGACCTTGTGTAACCAGAGCCCTCTATGCATCTGTTTTTGGGATGTATGCACCCCAACACTGCCAGGATCAGATGGACACTGGCATTTTCCAGACTGCTGGCCAAAGGGGATGTATCAAATACATACAGCTGCATTCTGTAAAGGCACCTCAAGTAGCACTGTGTCCCCATGTCTTGCAGCTGACCCATCCAGGCTGCCACTTATTGATTTTCAGTGACAAAGTTTTCCATATTCAAATGCATGTCTAAGTTCTTTAAAGTCAACATTATAAGCTAGCTAGAATCGCATACTCCCAGATTGGTGAGCTGGAGAAGGCCTACACTTCCTGGGCACCAAAGGTACAGCTGGAATCTGGCACTCCCTGTTTTGAAGCACACTATTCCTCACACGGATCTTACTGTCTGCTACCCTCTGTCCTCTCCTGCCCCCTTTCTTACTTTCAAACTGTGCCTCAACCGGGATGTGGAGGTCTGGGAAAGACACCAGCAGCCTCTGCCTCTCCTTCAGCTCCTGGATCAGTTCCTCCAGTTCAGAGACATTCTTGTGCAGCTCAAACGTGGACTGCTCTAGACTCTGCTTTTCCTGCTCCAGGTTCTCCGTTAGCTCCTGCACAAGACAGGAGAAAGGGTGGTGAGGCTTCTCTTTGCTTGGAGACAAAGCTGCGGAGTGCTGAGGAAGGGAAGAGTTCAAAGCCCGATTCTGATACAGCACTCAGGGTGGATCCAATTTTATTCAGAGTGAAGATCATGCACCAATGTGATGAACTCCTGAGTTTTAGGTGCATTTCAGTCAACGCCGTTTGACAACTCAGTTCCAGCCCATGAGATACAGTAGCCTGGAATACACAAGACCTTCAGAGGCCCTACACTTAACTTACCTGGACAAAGTCTTGCTGAAGTCAGTGGGAGATTGCCTGAGCAAAGACCGAGTAAAATGAAGCAGGATCCCCAGGACTGGCCAAGTGTTGTTCATCACAGAGAAATCCCACTTGGTTTGAGCCAACACGATCCAATGTGTAGGCTTATCAGGCCCATCTAACTCCACTGTAGTGGTAGGTCCCGGCAGAGACAGGGTGGAGCACACCTTATCCACCCATGCCCATGTTCCAAACATGTCAGCTAATGAGGCTGCAATAAGCTCATGGCCGACAGCTGCTCTCAGGAATCTTGCAGATCAAGGACTTGAGAGTGGGCACAGAGGGATAAGACTGAAGCAGCTTCGCTGGTGTATTTCTGGGTTTATAGCATGCAATGGGTGTGCTTGGCCCTATCCTTGGTGAGTATAGATAGATCTATTGATGTTTACATATCCCATGCAGTCCAGGAAATATGTAAGGTGTACTGCTTCAGGTTCAGTCAGTCCCATTCAACTTCACTTGCTATAGCTGTCAGACTTGGACAGTGAAGATAAAAGAAGAGCACCAGCAGATCGCTTATGCTGAGTCCTAAAAGAAAGGGCTCACTGGAGCGAGAGATTTCTGGGTGCTGAGTCCCCAAGGGGACAAGCCAGTCTAGCTTGGAACTCTTGTGTTTGATTTGGTACCTGAGACTCTTGCATTCCATTTCTAACTCAGGACATTGTGTGCTGTCCTATTTGGGACCTGACTGGACAGACTGCAGCCAACAGCTGCCCTGAGATGACTGCCCTATACATGCCTCCATTGGATTTGCCCATGCTGCAGTCCCTCAAGCAATACTATCTCAAAGCTCTACATTGGCTTCTCCACTCTCACCTGTTCACCCCTTCAATTAGAGGAGAGATCCCCCCGGGCATCCCAGTCATGGTAATACGGAAGGGCACTGAATCCCTGAAGCCTGCCTGCCAAAGCCCTGCAATCCAATTCTAGCTTTTGTCCTGCTGCTCTCAGAGTAAGTCCCTACTTCTGAAGGAATGCATAGCTGCTCATCAGATGCTAACACTTACTTGCTGGGCTTCCAGCTTGTGTTGAACCTGCTGCTTCTTGTCCTGCATCTCCTTCAGCTGCTCTACCAGCTTGGCCTTGTCCTCCTCAGCTTCGCTTAGGGTGGTCCGTAGCTCCTCACACTCCTGATCCACACTGTCCAGCTGCTGCAGCAAGACTCTTTGCTTGGCCTGCAGTGACTTCATAAAAAGAAAAGCAGACAGATTAGGCTGCTGGCACTGCATTTAGCTCTTACCCATCTTTAAACCACAAGTTGTAATAAAAGGCAGGATAAGGACATCCAGTACCAGAAAGCAGAGAAGACCTCTGCAGTGGCATGCATGTGAAGGAGCACAGAAGAAACCCCATAAAATATCATTTGCAACGAAACATTAAACCAGGCTGCTTTAAGAAGGCAGGCCCCACGCAGGCAGTAGAGAGGGCAGACAGGTAACATGAGGGTTACTGCTCGGGTGTACAGTTCAGGGCTGTATGAAGCTTCGGTAGCTGATCTGATTCGGAGGAGATTTGGCCCGATTCAGGGACTGAACCTCCAAGTCAAATTGGGAGACCAAGTAAAAGCTCCAAATCGATTTGAAGCATCTGAATAGATTCGGAAAAGCTTCAACCGATTTGGAGACTTGGCCATAGACTACAGGCAGCTGACAGCTGCCTCCAGCTGGTAAGTCTGTTGGGGTTAGGGGAGGAGGAAGGGAAGGAGTGTGGGGGAGGGAGGGATTGGGGCTAGGACAAGCTGCCCACCTGGGGCAGGAGGCAAGTTACTCAGGAAATGGGGCGGGATGAGATGTGGCAGTGCTGGGAGCGGGGCTCTGCCCTGCTGCTGTTTGCTAGGCCTGTGCAAAGCGGCTAGTATTCATTTTGGATTTAACCGATTTGGGGGACAGTGATTTGATTAGGCGATTTGAATCACTGTACCGAATCTGATTTGGAGATTCAGCTGCTGCTGAATCTCTGAATAGCCCAGGCCCATCCTCCGCCCGCTCTCCCAGCCCCAGCAATGGCTGCCCCGCCTGCCCCAGCTTCTGGCACTTTGAAGAAAAAAAGCTCCAACTCACCAGGTGCTGCCTGGCAGGGGGCAATCTCCACTGCCCTCCCCTGTGTGGCGCGCTCTGCATGAGACCCCCCAATCTCCCCACTCTGCTGTCCCCCCTCCAGACCTTTAAGGGAAAAAAAAAACAACCCCAAAAACCTCTGGACTCACCAGTTTCTGCTCAGCAGGGGGCGATCCTTGCTGCCCCCTGCACCACATGGGGGGTTCTTCCACAAGGCCCCCCAAACCCCAAGGGTGCTGCAGGAGCTGGTGGGTCTGTGATTTTTTTCATTTTTTTTTTTTCTTTCTTAAAGGGTCAGAGCTGGGATGAGGAGGCAGTGGTGGAGGGGTTGGGAGAGGGGTTTTGAATCAGGGGGCTCATGATAGAGCCCCCCATGCTGCATGGGGATTGCCCCCCCAGCAGCACCCAGTGAGTGGGAGCCTTTTTTTTAAAGGACCAGGAGCTGGGGTGGGCAGGGCAGCCATGGCGGAGGGGTGAGGGGGCGCTGGGGGAGCAGGCAGGGGATGGGGCCTGGCATGGGTCCCCTCACAGTCCCCTCCTCCAGCCTCCCCTCCCCTGCCCCCTACTTACCAGCTCCAAGTCCGGCTCCAGCTCCCTGCTGCAGCTGGCAGGGACTGCCCAAATCATCGAAGCTCTCCAAATCTTTTCTGAAGATTCAGAGAGCTTCGAATCAATTCAGACCTTTTTATTGGTCCCCTGATCCGATTCGGATTTGGAGATTCAGCCACCAAAGCAGGCCGAACCTCCTCCAAATTGAATCGGCACCTGAAGCTTTGCATAGCCCTACTGCTTGCCCAGCTCAGGCAGGGGGGGTGGGATGCGGGTGCGGCTCGCTCCAGGTGGAAGGGGGCAAGTAGCAGCAGAGCAAAGCCCCACCTCCCAGTGCTGCCACACCTGCATCCTATGTGTCCCTGCCCCAGCTGGCAAGTGGTAGCAGGGCAGAGCTCCCAGCACTGATGCGAACACTGCAGCGCTGGGAGCTGGGGCTATGCCCTGCTGCCTACCAAAGCAAGCCACGCCTGCATCCTGCCACTGCCACGCCAGCTGGGCAAGTGGCAGCAGGGCAGAGCCCCTGTGGTTCCCTCCACTGGGGCAGAGGCAGGCACAGCTGGAGAAGCCATGGGAGAAGCCCCTCATGGCTGCCCTGCTCAGCCCCATCTCTGGGCACTTAAAAAAAAAAAAAAAAGCCCCTCACTCACTGGCTCTAGCAGCTGCAATTGGGGCCTCTGAGGGCTCATGAAAGACCCCCCTCCCATGCAGTGCAGGGCAGTGGGGATCACCCCACCCCCTTGGCACCCGCATGGCAGCTGCCCCATGGCTTGGCAGGGCACTGCGCGCTGTCTGGGAGCTGGGGTGGTTCCACGTGTCAGCTGGAGCCCGGTGCCGCTCAGCCCCAGTGGCCCCAGCTCCCAGAGTGTGCAGTGCCCTGCCAAGCCGCACTGCACCTGTGCCATGGGGCAGCTGCTGCACAGCTGCCAGATGGGGGGGGGGAGGGTGATCCCTGCTGCCCCCCACTGCCCCAAGCCCCCAATCCCCACTGCCAGAGCCAGTGACCGTGGGGCTTTTTTTTCTTTTTTTAATTGCCAGGATGCTGGTATTAGGCAGGGCTGGGGTTGGGGGAAGATCACTGTGTGGGGGGGCTCTGCCACATGGCCCCAGAGCCCCCACAGCTGCTGCTACGGCTGGTGAGTGCAGGGTTTGTTTGTTTTTGATTCCCAGACCGCTGGAGCCAGGTGGGGCTAGGGGGAGATCAGGGAGCAGGGGCAATATGGGGAGGCTCTGCCAGGAGGCCCCAGGGCCCCTGGTACAGCCAGTAAGTGCAGGGCTTTTTTTTGAAGTGCCGAAACTAGGCTGGGGCCAGGAAGGGCAGCCACTGGGGCTTCTCCCACAGCTCCCCCCACCCGGGGAGAGGCAGGCACAGCTGGAGGAACCACAAGAACCTGTAGCCACCCAGCTTTGCCTGCCTCTCCCCAGTCGATCCGAATCACCGAATCTCTCCGAATAAGTGCCGAATCTTCCGAAGCTGATACGGCCGAATCAATTCAGGACAGTGATCCAAATCGCTGAATCAAATCACTGTCCTCTGAACTGGCTGAATCCAAATCGAATACTTCCCTATTCACACAGGCCTAGTACAGGTCCTATCTATTCACAATGGTCCTTGCCTCTTTAAAAAAAAAAATCAACTGGGTACAAGCAAAATCCATAAGGGGGCAGGAACTTCAGCCCAAAGACTACCCAGTCATGTATGCAGCTAACCAGTGATGCTCAACTTTTTAGACTTGTGGGCTATGTGCTTGTAACCCACCTGCACTGCAGGCCATCATTCTCCTCCAATAGGGGAGGGGGAGCAGGGAGTTGGGGGAGGTGGTTGCTAATGTCAGAGAGAAAGAGGAAAAAAATCTTACCTCCAGTAAAATGTGCCTGCCTAGAGAAGCTGAGAGGGAGAGAGAGAGAGAATAAGTAGTGTGCGCCATAATAGAGGAGAAAGGGAGGGAATAGGGAGGGCTGCAAAGGGGATCCATGAAACAGCACAAGGCAGGGGAAGGGGCTGGGCTAGGCCAAGCTGAGCTGCTTACTGCTGATCCCCCATGCTGCAGGCCAGATATGGTCACTTTGGGGGCTCGATCCATCCTGTAGGCCATAGATTCAGGTCCACTGATCTAGACTGAAACAGACTGGGGGTTCTTATGCTACCTAGCACCGTCCTGCCCAAGGTACAGCAGCAGAGGGAAGGAAGGAAGGGGAGACAAAATGTAAAAGGAATAGACAGAGGAGCATGGATTATGTCCAGCATGGGATGGACTGGTGGAAAACAGATGGGGATTACTTAAGGTACAGTAGAGAGCAGCAGGTCCTGGTCTTGCCATGGCTGTACCTCCTCATGCCTGAGCATGCTTTTCACTTTGGCCTTCTCCTTGTCCAACTGGAGGGTGACCTTGCTGAGCTCCTGGCTTGTGCTTTCCAGCTGGGTGGTAACCAGCTGCACTTGTTCTTGCAGCTTCAGCATCTGGCTCTTGTCTACCATTTTAGTCCTCATCTCCTCTAGCAGGGACATTTTGATCAGCTCTGGGAACACAACATCTTTTGCCCATTATTGAGGAAGAAAAGAAAGTATGATGTGCAATATAGCTGTTAGAAAGGGGCTCCTTCCACCTCCATGTTCTATGTACTGAGGGATGAGGGATGGGAGGGAGAGGAAGCTTTTCTGATAGGACTGGGAAACTTACCCAGCTCTTTCACAGTAGCTTGCTGTGATGCCAACTCCTCTTTCAAGGAAGAAATCTGTTCCTCCAGCAAGGCGGTACCTAAATCAACAAGAACCAACTGCTTAAGAGTCTTTCAAATCCCCTAGAGTAGCTAGCTGCACAAGACAAAGAGGCCATAAACAACCAATCAAACAATACCAAGCCATTTATCAAGTAAATCTAAAATTCAAAGAGAGGGGCAGGGAAAATATCCCAGTAGATCTGAGAGAGGCAAGGATTTATGGTGCTGTCTTTTATTGGACCAACTATATAGTTGGTCCAATAAAAGATAGCACCGTAAGAAATCCTTGCCTCTTGCACAATTTCTGGGCCATCACAGCAACATCACTCTTACACTACCACAGCAGATCACCATCCTTTGATTGTCCTGTCAAAGCAAAGCAAAACTCTGCAGTGCTGACTAGGCCAGAGTCTGAAGTAGTCACCCTTTCAAAAGCAGAGAAGTGCATTACATGAGACCCAATCTGCAATGCCTGGGCTCTCAATTATGAAATATACAGAAAAAGGAGAGACAATTGTCTGTTCATAAAGGATGAAATCTGGTCCCTCTAACATCAGAGAAAAAACTCCCACTAACATCAGTAAAAGTAGGATTTCAGCAGGAACCTTGATTGTTCTACTGCAAATGCCTCTTGATGTAAGGAAGGATAATTTGGGAATGGCGCCACACCTATCTTTGCATTCTCGTTGTCCTTCTCAAGTTTGGCCATGATCTCATGGTTCTCTTTGTTCTTCTTTTCCAAGCACTGCTTAACTGCTTGCCTCTGCTGTTCCTGGATATCCTTCTCCTGCTGAAGAACTTTGGCAAAGTCTTCAACCTGCTTTCTCAGCTCATCCTTCTGTTTCTCAGATTCTTCCAGTTCTGTCTTCAAAGGATTTATCAGTTGCATCAGCATCCCAAGATGTTTATTGATCCGGGAGAGGTCCTTCATTTGTTCCGATGCCCAGTACCTCATGTCTGTAGCAGCAAGTGTCTTGTTAAACATGGTCTCCTCAATCATCTTCTGGAATTTGCACAGGGATGAAGGGATATTCTGGTTACGACAGATGCTCACGATGGCTTTGCTGACCTCCTGGAGGCTGGCCTGGGCGCTGGCACAAGAATCACAAGGTACCAAGGATGATTCAATTGTCTGAGAATGGACACTATGGTTATTCCTGGTGACGCTATATGCAGATCTTGGCCGTGAGAGGTCGTTGATATCATAGTCTGGTACACTGAAGTTTTGTGATAGGCATGAAGTAGTTGCCTGTGTACAATCGAAAAATGTGCCCAATTCAGAAATTACAGGTGAACAGCTTCTCAAATGTTCATTCTCAGCTTTCAAATTCTGCAGTGTAGATTTCAGTGCAGAGGCCTCTTTTCTGTTAGATTTATTCTAGCAGAGAGAGAAAAGATGAAGGTGAAGACATATGCTGTCATATGTAAATAATGCTAGGTCCAACACTGGACCGGGAAGCCAAGAACATGATACCCAGCTTTAAAAAATGGAACCAAGCAAAGTGCAAACGTATGATTCCCCTAAGATACCAGTTTCCTTTCCCCTACTATTAGAGAAAGGGCAGGAAGTACAACCCTAATGCTCATACTGAGCACTGATGCATCATCATTGGGAAAGTATCAATCAGTCTTAGCGGCCCCACCTCAGTAAAGCATCACAGGGGTTGAAAGAACCCAAAGAGGAACTACAGAGTTACTAAAAGATCTGGTGAGGAGTCCCATCTAAAGTGATCTGGGAAATACTAGGACTATTTCTCCTGAAAAAAGAAGCCTTCCATGGCACGTGACTGAGGTAGAATGTTAGGTTCAAAAGGGACAGCAATTAGGGCCTCCTGTTAACATTGCCTCATAAGGAGAACTATTCTACAGTTGCTCGGGGATGTAGGGGGATGGTTAGGAAGGCCAAGGCAGAGAGGGAACAGGGGCTGGCTTCCCGGATTAAGGACAACAAGAAGTCCTTTTTTAAATACATAGGGAGTGGAAAGAAGGCCCCAGGAAATGTGGGGCCCTTGCAGGACAAGACGGGGAATCTGGTTGTCACGCCAGACGACAAAGCCAACATATTTAATAACTTCTTTGCCTCTGTCTTCCTCAGTAAGGACCAGAACTGCCACCTCCCTGCTGGGCCCCCTTTGGGCCC